ATCTGGTGGCCGTCTATAAACTGGCCAAGGGGGACCAGCAGGCATTGGGGAGTCCCTGTTCCCCCGAGCACTACCAGGAGCGACTAGAAATAACAGTCACAAGCTGGCAGAGGGTAGAGTCAGACTAGACATCAGGAGGCGCTACTTCACTGTCAGGGCGGCCAGGAGCGGCTAGGATCTGGAACCAACTTCCCAGAGAAGTGGTGCTGGCTCCTACCCTGGGGGTCTTTAAGAGGAGGCTGGATGAACACCTTGCTGGGGCCGTTTGACCCCAGTGCTGTTTCCTGCCACAGCAGGAGGTCGGACTTGATGATGTGTCAAGGTCCCTTCTGGCCCTACCTACTATGAAGCTATGAAACTGTGTAGAGGGGACTGTTGGCCTGGAGGGAAAATATGGAGGCTACTGGTGCTGTCTCTCTCCAGGCAGTTAGTGATCCTAGGTACAGGGCAGGCTGTGAAAACTGGTGCAGTGGAAAGAGAGGAGTTACCTACAGAGGTGGTGGGATTTCCATCCTTGGAGGTTTTTAAGGCCTGGCTCAACAAAGCGCTGGCTGTAATGACCTAGTTGGAGAGTGTTGTGCAGGGGGTTGGACTAGATAACTCCTGAGGTCCCTTCAAACCTAATTTTCTATTAATTTGTTTCTATTATTTCCATTGGTCAGAGGAGTCAGAGCATTGAGAGTTTTAGTCACACTTCCCCATCTGACTGTATCACTGTGCTGAGCACTCCCAGTCCACACTGAACAGTAATAATCTGCATCATCGTCAGCTTGGACCCCCGTGATGGTCAAGGTGGCCTTCTGACCAGATATGGACCCCGAGAACCGAGCGGGGATCTCCGAGGGCCTGCTGTTGGTGTTGTATATAAGCAACCGAGGGGGAGAGCCAGGTTTCTGCTGGAGCCAGCCAGGATAGTTGCTGGAGGTGATGGCTCCGGTGCTCAGGCTGCAGGACAGAGTGACAGTCCCTCCTGGGGACACGGACATCGCAGGCTCCTGAGTCACCACAGGCTGTGACCAGACCCCTGAAATCAACATCACAAACCCATTATTAACCATTCATTGACCGCGCTGACAGGAAAGCAACTGCCCCCATGACAGTCACAGCCTGAACCCTTCTGCTGACCTGAGCAGCACGTCATCAGCACCAGGAGGAGCAGGGCACAGGCCATGGTGACAAGTCCTGACTGGTTCAACTTCCTGACACAAATGGGTCCCTGGCTGGGACCCTCTGAGTCTCCCTTAAACCCCCAGAGCTGAGAACGGCCCCTTCATGCAAATCTGCCCCCTGTCACTGGCTGCTGCTGGTGCATCGCCCTGTCGGGACGTGTGTTATTGCTTGTGCTTCCACCGCTCCGAGAGCCGGCAGAGCAGAGCCCAGTGCACAGCGCTGGCAGGGAAAGTGCTGTACTTTAAATTCATATTTATAGCCGGGGTTAAACATTGCACTCTTCCTGCTTGATTGTCATGGGAATAGAGGGCAGGCATGGGGGAATATGATTGCTATGTACATGCCTCCCTCACTCTTTGATATCTTTCCTGAGCAAGATGTTCTGAATTGTAGTTTCTCCACCTCCATGACGAACTCTGGTCTGTGCTCTGCCCTGGGTAAAACACACTGCGTCACAGCTGGGGCACCTAGCTGACATTGGTGCGCTCACTCCTGGCACTGGAGCATGGCCTACGTTGTGCCATGTAGACCTCTTGAGAGGCACTTCTCGTCCATGATCCAGCCCTACAGAACCAGGGCTCCCACCCTAGACAGACTCCGTGTGAGATGCTCCCACCTCTGAAGGCTTTACTTTCCCAGCAGGGAAGACAAAGGACAGGATATATTAGTTAGGCTGACGTGCCCAAGTCACAGGCAGGAGAACTGAATGCCGACCAATTGAGTGCAGCACCAGGGGCTTAGACCCAAGATCTCCACCCCCACCCCATGTCTCTGAGTTGAGGATCCAAGGACCCAAAGTTGGCAGGAAAAGGACGTTGTTTCACAAAGGGCGAATTCAGAAACTGTGTGACATGGAGTGAATCGGCAGTTAGACCATACAGAAGTGGAAACCCTTCTTAGCTCATTTCCCTGGAGACCACCTGTCCTTCAGTCATCTTGCACAAGATCTGTGCAACAAGATTGACATCTAGTGGTCATGAGAAACCTCTCCTGATACATCATCTAGAAAACAGGGCGGGGTAGCTCTGCAAACATGATCAGAGATTGTCTGCTTTGCTTTATGATCAAGGGTCACAAAAGGAAGCAGCAGGGACCGGCTGCATGTAACCAATTCACTGCTGGTCACAGCCCCTCCTTCACCCAGAAATGATGGCATGGGACAAAGCCCATGGAGAACAACAGTTCCCACTCCATTTCCTGACAGCCCGTGGATTTCTCTACTCAATTTCCTATGCTACAGCTGTAGTTATTTTCATCCAAACATGCACAGAAATGATATGGGAACAGGAGCAGATTTGCATCATGGCTTTTGATGAGTTTGTAGGTGGGCACCGGTGATGGCTCACTGCATCCTCCATGGTGTGGTGCTGAACTATCCTGCCAGAGTGCTCCATGGTGTGCATCTCTGTGTGCGGTGCACATACACATGAATGTGTGTGTGTGTGTGTGTGTGCGTGTGTGCGTGTGTGTGTGTAAAGCTGGCTGTAACGTGTATTTCTAGAAACATGTAAGGCTTCATGCACCAGGGCTGAGAGACCAGGTCCTTCCGAATGTAAAGTCACATAGGCTGTCATTATGTGCAAAATATTTCTGAACTATCTCATGAAACGCATTGCACCCAGGCCAGGCATGGAGTTGGTCTGGACTTTGCAACCATAGCGAGAGGGCCTATCTTGTGCAAAGAAGGTCCATTTCCCTGAGCTCCCCTACAGGTAAAATAAGAAGATAGGTCTTCTTCCAGGGTCCAAGCTTTGCACCTGACAGTGATGTTAGGGTAGCTTGTCATATTTTATGCTTTAAAGTTGCACCTCTTTATAGAGTGGTGAATTACAGTTTTGTTTAAAGATTTATTTTATATTCAGTTTTATTTATTCATTGCTGAAGTTCTGTATAGCCTCATTATTATTTGAATTTTTCACTTTGCTGGTGTTTGCGATATAAGCTGGCCTAGTCTCTTGCAAGCCTTGAGTTTGCTGAGCCTTGAGGTATGGCCTTGAGTTTGCTTGCATCATGTTCCTTTCTTTTTCTAACACAAGTTTTTCTAACACAACATAGTAATAGTTTTGTTACCAAGTCAAATTAACTGAACCTGGCACTAACTGGCTGAATTGGGGAATGAAATGATTGGATATGTGAATGAGACCAAGGGACAATACCCAAAGTAAGATGCCGGAATAAGACCAAATTATGAAGTGTGATTGTGCTGGGTCTGTTGAACAAAGCAATATGCTGACAGGATAAAATATGAATAATATGATGAGTGCACAGGGACCAATCCAAAAACATAAAGTCATCAGAAGAGTGAAGTTGAAGAAAAGCATAAAAGGGGCAGCAACAAAGTTTTGTGTGTTGTTGTCATCATCATCATCATCATCGTCATCAATCCAGCCTTCAACAAGTGACTGGACCATCCCAGCCAACCATGCACCATTTGCTTCAGAAACTGTGTGGCCAGTATTTTTTGTTGAACAAAGTAATATCTGAGATTGGATGAGATTATTGTACTAAATGTTTTTCTCTCTCTGTATATAGAAACTGCTTTTATTAATAAAGTTAGACTGCTTTTAGGACACTAAGCTGTCTGTGCTCATATTTCATGTTTAGGTGCTTTAGGATCCCCAAGCACTTGGTGGACAGTGGTGCTAACAGTGGGGATCAGTCTGGGAGGGAAGACAGAGATGTTGTTGCACTTCTCCGCTTGACTGTGTCCCTGTGAGGAGGGGCAGAGTGCCACACAGCACAGTAATCACCCACCTCATCCCCAGCCTGGACCCCAGGTAGAGGGGGAAGCCAAGGATGGAGTCAACAGTGCTTGATGCAGAGCCTTTATTCAGATCTGTACAAGAGCTCAGCTTGTTCCGTACTTCACTGAGCTCAGGCTGGTGCGAGGGGACATGTCTGCATGATGTCCAGGGTGAAGGATTCCCTCCTGCACTCCCACACTCAGAGGGTCTGCAAGTGTTATCCCCGTGCCTCTGCTCAGAGGGGCTGTGCAGAAGGGCTCTGGGTGCTCAGCCACATGTGAACGGCATTGCAAGGCGCCAGTGGTATGGGAAAAAAAGGAACCTGAATGAAGCAATATGGCCAACACAAGTAGGATGCTGCTAGCTAAAAGGGTCTTGTAAGGTCCTACCTGTGGGCAAGCCTAGCGGGACACAAGAAAGGAGCGGTGGGAAATGGAGAAGTCCCAACAGCCTCCAGAGAGGAAACCAGGTGGAATTGGCCCTGCTCTGCGCTCCTCCTGCCTTTGCCTTTCTGTGTCTCTTTCCTCCCTGTCTGTCTGTCTGCCGGCTCTGTCTGGGGCAAACAGCCGGAAGGAGCCTGGTCCCTCTCATACACTGATGAACTCTGTCAGGTTTGGGGTTTGGGTCTCTCTTGTCAGCCAAGGGAACCTCAGTCTTCAAAGGGGCCAGATTCAGTGTGCAAAGGGCCACTGAGACACCCCAGAGCTGTCTCTATGCTGAAGATGCCTCTTTTATCCAGCTGTCCCCAGAGAAGCCCAGATGAAGAGGATTCCTATGGCACTTGCAAAGCTCTTCCAAACAAAATGCTAATGTGCCAAAGGGGTGAATGCTCTCCCTCTCTCCCCATCCTCTGCAATTAGGACTCTAATCTACAGCCTCCTGCTGGCTCTGAACTCCGGATGGGCTGTTTCTGCTGGATTCCTCAAAGGAGATGTTACAAATCCAATCCCAAACCCTAGGGCTGCACTCCAGGGCACGGACAGGGGAAGAGCTGCTCCCAATATTTCAAAAAAAGACATGGCTTCACACTACTGCCAGTATCTGCCAGTTGTCGCATTACACTTGTGCGTGTGAGCCAAGTCATGACTCAGCCCCCGTGTGCTCAGCACTAGAAGGACACGGGTCACAAACACTGTCCCAAAGACCTGAAAGTCTAAGACAGGAGACACCAGGCAAAAATGGGCTCGCAGCTGGGGTAGTGGTCTCATCATTCCCTAGTGGGGTCTTGGTCCCTGCTGATAGTCCACATGCAGCCTCTCTGATGGGAATCAACACCCAGAGATGCTACAAAGCCTAGAGCATGTGCTTGTTCCCTGTTATGTGTAGAGGGGGCGGTTGGCCTGGAGGGAAAACATCGGGGTTACTGCTGCTGTCTCTGCAGGGATGGTGGGATGGCAGTTGGGGTGCTAGGAACAGGACAGAGGATTAAAACTTGTACCGTGGAAAGAGCGGACCAGATGGCCCCGTTTCTACATGCACAGAGCAGGACTTCAAGCAGTCAGTACCAGCTGCTGCATTTCCAGCTTCAGACTTCAGTTGGGAGAGTCAGAGCAAAGAGATTTTTGTCGCACTTCCCCATTGGACTGTATCACTGTGTTTTGCACTCCCAGTCCATACTTTACAGTAATAATCAGCGTCATCCTCGAGCTGGGCCCCAGTGATGGTTAATACGGCCTTCTGACCGGAAATGGACCCTGAGAACCGGGTGGGGATCCCGGAGGGCCTGGTGTTGTTGTTAGACATTAACAACTGAGGGGCAGAGCCAGGTTTCTTCTGGTACCACCCACGATAGTTATTGCTGGTCATGGCTCCAGTGCTCAGGCTGCAGGACACAGTGACAGTCCCTCCTGGGGACACCGACACCGCAGGCTCCTGAGTCACCACAGGCTGTGACCAGACCCCTGAAATCAACATCACAAACCCATTATTAACCATTCATTGACCGCGCTGACAGGAAAGCAGCTGCCCCCATGACAGTCACAGCCTGAACCCTTCTGCTGACCTGAGCAGCATGTGATCAGCGGCAGGAGGAGCCATGCACAGCCCATGGTATTGAATCCTGACCAATTCAGCTTCCTGAGGGAAATGCATCCCTGGCTGGCACCCTCCGAGTCTCTCATAAAGCCCCAGAGCTGAGATCAGCCCCTTCATGCAAATCTGCCCCCTGTCACTGGCTGCTGCTGGTGCATCGCCCTGTCAGGACGTGTGTTTATTGCTTCTGCTTCCACCGCTCCGAGAGCCGGCAGAGCAGAGCCCAGTGCACAGCACTTGGGGAGAAAGTGCTTTACTTTAGGTTCCCATTCATACCAGGGGTTAAATTTACCACTCCTCCTGCTTGATCTTCATGAGGAAAGAGAGCAGCTGTGAGGGATATGGAGCCAGGGCCTCTCAACACTGGACACAGACATCCCCAATTCAATGGCAACAGAACTGAGTGCTGACGGTCTGTGTCCTGCAACAGGGCCTCAGTCCCAAGACCTCTGTCCCCCTTCATCTCCCTTGGTCAAGAACCGAAAGACCAAAAGACGGCAGGAAAAGGATGTTGTTTCAGAGAGGGCCAATTCAGAAACTGTGACATGAACCAAATTGTCATTTAGACCATACAGAAGTGTAAAGCTTCATTACACATTTCCCTTGAAGCCGTCTTTCACTCACCCACGTCACAACAGATCTGCACAGCAAGATTGACATCTAGTGGTCATGAGAAGCCTCTGCTGATACATCATCTAGGAAACAGAGTCAGGGAGCTCTCCAGATATAATCAGAGATCATTTGCCTTGCTTTATGATCAAGAGTCACAAAGGGAAACAGCAGGAACAAGCTGCATGTAACCAATTCACTGCTGGTCGCAGCCTCTTCTTGATCCAGGCAAACTGGATCCTGCTCTTGTTCTGGGACAAAGCCCCTGAGAGAATAACAATTCTCACTGTTATAGTGAGACTATCCTTAGCAATTAAATCTTGCTTGCCCACTCTCCTGCCATGCCTTTAATGGGAGAATTGATATGAAAAATAAACAAACAGGATATAATTGCAGATCTTAATCTCTATCAGGTGACGAACTACTTCTCACAAATTGTCAACTGGAGTGACAGCATCACTGCTCAGGATCAGCCAAAGTCCACTTTTTATAGTCTCTATGTCTGGTGAGTGGCTCTCACCAAGCTCAACTCACTAATCAAGTCTTCCCTTTAGCCGTTATGGTGTACCTTCAGTAGTGGGAGTTATAGCATCTCCCTCCGGTTTCACTACAAAAATCCCTGTGCCTCCCCACAAGCTGCCTTAACCCTCTGGGTTGAATTCAGTCTCCACATGCCCTTCCAGGGGTTGTTTGATAGGAGAGACCGCCTTTCTAAAGTGTCTGCCAGTTAGCCTCCGGTTCCAAATTTATAACTCTTTACAGATGTTTCAATCTCCAGCAGCTGGACACTGCCTGATGATGTCATGATCACTGGTCAGTGTCTGCTTCTCCCGGTAAGTTTGTTTACTCGTCTCATTAGTAATAAGGTTGGAAAGCTCCCTGTTACATACCTCCTGTCTTAGTTCTTTAACTCATCAATCCTTTATCATTATGTCATTGTCTCTTCATTCAGTTCCTGTCTCAGTGAAGTATCTGTTTCACTTGAGGACATTTCTTCTGTGGCAGAGAGAGAAAGACTGCCACGCAGCAGGACTGATGGGAGACACCGCAGCAGCAAACAAACCGACTGTCAGCAGCAGCAGCAGAGAAGGAAAGGGAACATCTGGCCCCGGCATGGGCATGCCTTGTAAATGCATGTCAGAGCCAATTCGCAGGGCAGAATGTGGACACCAGTTCAAAGCTGCCACGGGACAACTCCTCAGAGAAACCAGAAGTGAGTTCCTCACATCACCCGGAGCAGCGCGGGAAAGTAGAATGCCCCGGCAGGGATGAGTAGTAGAAGCCTAAAGTTGAAAGGCTCTTCACCAGGGCTGACTCAGAGGAGTCGATGTACTTACCAGAGGAGCATCCGTGGAAGTCAGACATTAGCAAGCTGAGCTGGATCAATGATGAGCCTGAAAGAGAAGAAGAGAGAAGGGACTGATAAAATCATGTGAGAGAAGATGGGTGACATGTTAGACGCATGTTCCAGCCCAACGTACCCTGAGTAGGGAAGAGATATATATGTGGGACTCAGTCTAAGTAAAGATATTCATAGTAGGACCCTGAGACAGGGAGCCCTTGCCACTATTATTGTGACAGAGACTCTGGAACTGAGTAGGGCAGGACAAGCATTTACTGGACTTGACATTGCACCATCAGGTTGGTGCTAGGCGGGGTGTAGGGGAGGTGGAGCCCCACGTCCATGCAACATGTGTATCTATAAAGTCACCTCAGGAAAAGGAATCAACACCATCGTCCCTAAGATAAGTTTACACCAAGGACATGGCAGGTGAGAACCCTCAGTGGCTTTAATAGTCTACACTGCTGGCCAAGCTGTCGGCCAGCAAGGCAGTGGACAGTAGTAGTCGGGTAGAAAAATCAAAGTGCTGGACTAAGGACTGGCACAGCAAACAGAACGCAACGGGAAGTCGGTGATCACATTCCTTTTTCTGGGATGATGCTCTACTGTAAAATGAAAAGGTTGTAACACCAGTGACCACCATACGTGCCCTGTCAGTTTTTGCTGACTGAAGCCATCTCAATGGGGCATGATCTGTAATTAATATAAATTTTCTCCCCAATAAATAATATCTAAAAAGCTCAACTTCCCATTGGATAGCCAGACACTCTCTCTTTAAATTGGAGTATCTGGCCTCAGCTCCTGAAATGTTTTTGCTCCCATAAGCTATAGGTCTTTCTTTACCCTGCACTTCCTGAAATAATACTGCTCCTAAGGCACTCCCTGACACATCTGTTTGTAAATAAAATACTTCTCTGAAATTGGGTGTGTAAAGTACTGGCTTCTTACAGACAGCTTGCTTAATGTCATTAGATGCCTTTATAGCCCTTTTGGACCGTCTCAACTGACTTGCTTTTCCTCCCATCATGTCTGTCAGTGAGGCGACTATCTTGGAAAATCCTTGAATAAACCTTTGGTAATAGGTGGCAAATCCCAGAAAGGACCTAAGTTGTTTCTGGGTTTTAGGCAACCTATAATTCCTAATGGCAGCAACTTTATTTGCTACTGGTTGTATCTGGCCCTGGTTTATTTGGAAACCTAAATACTGCATTTCCTCTCTACCCATTGCACATTTGTTGGGATTAGTGGTTAAACCCACCTGTCTTATTTCTTGCAATACTGTCTTCAGGTGGTGATAGTTTTGCTCCCAGTCCTCGGAAAAAAATAATGATGTCATCTATGTACATTGAAGCATAATTCTGATGTGGGGCAAAAATCTTATCCAAAATGAAATAAGACCCATGGTGTTCCAAACGTGGTTTTTTCTCCATCTCGTACTGCCATGGGGATCTGCGAATAGCCCTTCATTAAATCAATTGTAGAAAGATATTTTGCCTGACCTATCTTTTCCACCGTATCTTCAACCTGAGGCATAAGAAGCACAACAAAAGTTGCCACGTCATTAAGTTTCCTATAGTCTACACAAATCTGTATCGAGCCATCGGCTTTGGTACTATAACTAACGGACTTCTCTACAGGCTGTGCGACTCTTCTACAATGCCCAACTGTTTTATTTGACTAATTTCTTGTTTTACTGACTGCCATAAGTGGCAAGGTAAATGTTTCCAATAATTTCTCACCCAGCAGAAGTTCTTATATGATGTTCTATAAATTTAGCCTCCCCTGGTTTCTCACTAAAAACATCTGAGAACTCTCTTACCAACTGTTCCAATTCTCTTGCTGTTTGATCAATAAATTCTCCCCTACCTTAGGGTTACCCTCCTTTAATTCAGACAACAGGGGATAACCTACTACATCTAAATCTTGCGAATCCACTCCCCCTTGCAAAAGCTACCCTTCTTCCTTATGCCACTTTTCCAACAAATTCCTCACCAGGTCTATCCTCTGTACTTCATAATTCACTGGGCCTAATCTACGAGTCACTTGGAATGGCCCTTGCCACCTAGACAATAATGTATTATTATTATCGGGCAACATAACTAATACCCAGTCTCCTTCTTCAAATTCTGTTTTTATCATGTTCATCATAACTTTGTTTCGCCTTATTTGATTCCTACCTGGGTTCTCTTGAGCCAGACTCTGTACTTTTTCTAATCTTTCCTGGAACTGTTATACCGGACGTGGTTGATGTGTCTCCCCAGGACCCCTTTCCAACCACCCTTTACAAATAGCATCCAATAGCCCTCGAGGCTTATTTCCATAGACAAATTCAAATGGCATGCATCCTGTGGATGCCTGTGGTGCCTCTCTAACCAAAAACAATTGTAACTTGGGCGGTACTCCAAGAGGTACCCCCTCTCCAATTGAAGGGAGCAAAGCAGATGCACAAGTGCTGTGGGAGGTATAGGGACTCTCCTCCCCCTATAGAGCAGAGCCAGACCACCAATGGGGACTTAACCATATACCTTTTAATAAGAGAATAATACTGGGAACATAACCAGTATAAACCAGGGGATATAGGGGACACTACAATGCCCCGAGGGGGCAGGATTCAACAAAGGTCAGCCACAAGGTCGCCTATCAACCTTCTCTTGCAGAGGCTGAAGAGGTCCAGGTGCCCCAGTCTCTCCTCATAGGGCTTGGCCTGCAAGCCCTTAACCATACGTGTTTCCCTTCTCTGGACCCTCTCCAGGTTATCCGCATCCCTCCTGAAGTGCGACGCTCAACCCACTAGCCAATCACGAGGAACGAATCTGCATACCAGTGGCGGGAACTCTTCTGCACCGTGCATTCCTCTTGCAACTCGAGCAATGCACCCTGCAAAAGAAGCTGCAGCAAAGGCGGGAAACTGGTCCCTGCACCGGGGTTTCCTCTTGCTACACGAAACTCTCCCGTGCAATGCTCTGCAACTTGACGGGGATAATTCTGGTGCCGAAGCACACACACAATCATGCCTTTTGGGTCATGACAACTTCCTGTCCCTTGAGCATGGGGCTGAACTCAGTGATCTTCCGAGGTCCCTTCCAGCCCTAATGTCTATGAAATCTATGAAAAGCCTCATTCAATGAACATGGTTGGTGATGCTTTACCCATCTCTGAGCTTTCCCCCGCAAGTCCATGGGAAACTGTTCTAAAGCAATTATGTCCAACAACCTCAGCCACTGACTTATTTCCAGGCTGGATCCATCTCTCCAGTAATTCTCTCAAAGTCTGGACTAACAGCTGAGGCCTCATCTCATCTGGTTTCTTCTTAGCCCTAAAACATTGTCTGTATGAATCTGGCAATATTTCTAACTTATATAATATCGCATATTTGACTTTCTTGTAATCTCTTGCTTCACCACTAGATGCTGCCAGCCAGAAGTGCCCCATACAGGTCCTGTCTGTGGGCACAGCCCGGTGGGGCATGAGAAAGGACAAAAGCCTCCAGAGAGGAAATTAGGTGCAACTGGTCCTCCTCTCTGCTCCTCCTGCCTTTGTTTTTCTCCTCTTTGTCTGTCTGTCTGCCTGTTTTGTCTGGGGCAAGCAGCCGAAAGGAGGTTGGTTCTGCTCAAACTCTGAAAAATTAGGGCAGATTTTGGATTTCCATCTCCTGCATCAGCCAAGGGAACCGCAGCCTACACAGGGGCTCTGTTCAGTGTCACAAGAACCACTGACACATCCCAGTGCTCTCCAGGCTGAAGACACCTCTTGTATCCAACTGTCCCCAGAGCAGCCAAAATGAAGGCGATTCCTGTGGCACTTGTGACCTCTTCAAGACAAAATGCTAATATGTTAAAAGGGTTAATGCTCTCCCTCTGTCCCCATCCACTGCAGTTCAGGACTCCATAAACTACCAGTCATCTGCTGGCTCTGAACTCCCCGCTGGGCTGTTTCTGCTGGATTCCTTGCAGAGGATGTTATAAACTCAATCCCAAAGCACCAGGGTTGTGCTCCAGGGTGCTGGCAGGGGAAGAGTTGCTCCCAACACTTCCAGAAAGGAGACGTCTTCACACTATTGGTAGATCTGGCATTTGTTGCATTGCACTTATGCACCTGAGCCCAAGTCATGACTCAGCCCCCATGTGCTCAGCACTAGGACACAGGACACAAACACCTTGCCAAAGACCTGATAGCTGCAGAGCCTTTGTACACGCCACAAAATTAGCCTTTAAAGTGGCTTAAATGCTCTTTTGCACCGCTTTAATGGCACAGCTCTTTACACTGTCAGCCGCGTATTGCGCATGAAATAACTTTAGGATGTAGCAAAATAAAACATGTCTGAGATGTTTTAGTTTGCTACCTTACAGCTGTGCAGGGAAGCACTGGGCCCCACACAGCTCAAGGGCTGTGCAGGCATCTCGTGCAGGGGCAGCCCAGAGGCAGCCCGTGCAGGCAGGCTCCACTGAAGAAAACCCCCCCCAAAGCAGCAAGCCTGATCTTTTTTTTATTGTCTCCCTGGAGCCTGCCTGCCTGAGCTGCGCAGGGGCCTGGTGCTTCCCTCTGTGGCTGCGGGAGGGCTGGTGCTTCCCTCCACGGCTGCATGGGTGGGCCGGTGCTTCCCTCCATGGCTGCGGGCCAGCCAGCGGGCAGGTGCCACCTGGGGGGAAATGGCACCGCTGTTGGGAAGGGAAACACTGTGCCGCTCCCTGCAGCTCAGGGACCACTTGGCCTGGCAGCAGCTCGCCCTCCCCCCATGCTGCTGGAGAGGCAGTTCAGGATTGGGCCTGACCCTTGTGTACATGCCACAGTGGTTTACTTCGCCCTGAATTGAAGCAGTGTTTTTAAAAACCCACCACTTCAATTTAGGGAGAATCAAAGCGAAATAAACCCCTGCGGTGTGTACAAGCAGCCTCAGACAGGAGACACCAGGCAGAAATGGGCTTTCCACTGGGGGAGTGGTCTCATCCCCAATGGGGAGTCCTGGTCCCTGCCAACAGTCCACATGCAGCCTCTCTGATGGGAATCAACACCCAGGGATGCTGCAAAGCCTAGAACATGTGCTTGTTCCCAGTCATGTGGGGCGGGAACTTTTGGGCTAGAGGGGAGACATGGAGGTTACTTGTGCTGTCTCTCCATGGATGATGGGATGGTAGTTGGTGGCCCTAGGCACATGGCAGCCGGTGGACACTGGTGCAGTGGAGAAGAAGAAGCAGGCTTCCCCAGCTCTACATGCACAGAGCAGGGACTCCAAGGCAGCGAGTACCAGCTGCTGCATTTGCAGCTTCAGACCTTGGTTGGAGGAGTCAGAGCAGAGAGAGGTTTTGTTGCGCTTTCCCAGCAGACTGTATCACTGTTGTGAGCACTTCCAGTCCATACCAAACAGTAATAATCAGCATCGTCCTCAAGCTGGGCCCCACTGATGGTCAAGGACATCGTGTTTCCTGATGGGGATCCAGAGAAGTGCACTGGCATGCCTGAGGGTCAGGTACTGGTGCCGAGGAGCATCAGCAGCCGAGGAGCACGGCCCAGTTTCTGTTGCACCCAGTATGGGTAGCTGTTACCAGTGATGGCTTCACTGCTCAGGCTGCACGCGATGGTCACAGTCCCTCCAGGAGACACTTGCTCTGACGGCTTCAGTGACTGCAGCTGCTGGGAACTGGAGCCTGCAAAATTATAAACAAGCCCATGAGGACTGTGCCAGAGCGCTGGGTGCAACAGCCGTCCTCAGCGCTCTGGGCAGGGAGAACAGCACTGCAGCATCTCACCACTCACTTTCTATACCTTTGGAGAGGAAAGCCTCCTTTACCCACCTGTGAATAGTGTGAGGAGCCGGGCCCAGGCCATGGTGTGAATCCCGACCAGCTCAGCTTCCTGAGGTATACAGGTCCCTGCCTGAGACTGTCCATGTCTCTCTTAAACTCTCTGAACTGAGAACAGCTAATTCATGCAAATCTGCTCCTCACTCCTGAGTTACTGGCCCTTCCCCAGTTTGTCTCTTCCTATCATAAAAGGCAGAGCCACCTGCCAGGGGAGCCCTGCCGGGGCTCAGAGCGCGCAGCGGGCAGAGTCCTGCACTTAGCTCTTTTCTGGTACGAGGTGTCATTGCTTTGGTCGCCCTCGGGGAACTTTGAAAAATACCCAGCGTGCATCGACCTGAGCTCCTTTGCAGGATATGTCCCCATGCTCAGACAGAGCCCATTACATTCAGAGCAGGGAAAAGCTCTGTTTTGCTTTCATCCTCTCTCACACTGGGCTCACTGAGGGGATACATGTGCTGCGTTTCCCAGCTCATATCCAGCAGGACTCAGGCAGACTAAAGGGGGATTCAGTGCAAGCTGCTCGCGCAGTAGTCTGTGCCCAAAGGGAGAGGGAAGCGGAGCCGCAGACCCCTGCCCAGGTTTCCCACTCGCTCTGGGACCTGCAACATCTCTGCTCTTCCAGTCACAGGTCGAATACTCAGTCAGTGCCAATCCTGCAGCACGTTTGTGCCACGCAGACCCGGGACCACGAGGGAACCGCCACAGCCATTTCCTTTCCAGTCTGCATGAGGGTTTCTCCGCAGTTCCTGTGAGCTAACAGGAACCTGCCACATCATCCCCATGGTGATTAGTATATCAATGTCAGTCACCTAAATTGGGGCTCCATTGTACAAGGTGCTGTGGAAAACCATGTCAGCAGTGCCCTGAGTACCTGAGGGTCCCATCCAGGGCACGGACACACCCCAGGTCTGTCAATGGCAGCAGCGCAGCCTTGAGCATGAAGCACAGGTTTGGGGGCTGAGGGCTCTGGAGCCCGATTACCCCATCAGTTATGGGGACAAGCTGTGAAAAGGGTAACAGAGCCCACCTGGCTCCCAGGGGTGTCGTAAGAAATACTCAGTGACTCTGCACCAAGCCTCCACGATGCACCGGGCAGGAGAAACCCGAGGCACTAAGGGATGGGAGCAGCCAGGCGCTCTGGGGCTCACAGCGCTCTGCGGCTGCTGCAACCTGGCGCTCCAGGTGTCACTGATGCAGCCACTTGCCCTTGCTACAGGAGTTCACAACGGTTCCTCCCTCAGAGGATGATACCAAAAGTCTCTACATCTCCACAAGCTGAGCATTGGAACCTAGAAAATAATCAGTAGCAAAAAGAGGGCTGAAAGTCTGGGAGGAATATAAGGAAATCTTCAGAAAACTCTGATGGATAGATGGGTATAAAAAGGTAACCTCAAAGCAGTGTCAAACCCACTGGGTTACCTTCTATCTATACATTATGCTTTTCCAGGACAATGGATAAACATCCCCCCTCATACAAGACAAAAAAAAGGGGGAACATAGGTCTTACTGGAACATTGTTCAATATATGCTGCTCACATAATGACTTTGCTAAAGCACTGGCCAAAGTAAGCCTCACCAGCAAACCAGACCAATGCATGAACTCCTCATATAAACACAACTTGGCATTTGAGTCAGATGTGCAGTCGTACCAAGATATGGGTGGGGGAGATGACTGTTCAAGGTAGGATAGTCCAGTACCTGGATGATAAGGCTGGAACAGAAAAATCTAGGTCAGAATATGAAACAAGCTGTGATGGGGTGGTCCCCGGGCACCCAAAGAGATAGATGCTTCCCACCCCGCATCGTTCTAAGACAGTCTGCCATGTTTTTGCCCACCATGCTTTGATGTAAAAGGAATAGATGTAACGTGGGAGGCTGCCCCATTTGAGGCCCTAGTGTGTCAGGTCTATCCCACAGTTTTGAACCAGAGATTGAATTGATTCAGTCTCAGGCTCTTTGACTGTCTGAACTTAGCCCAAATGGCTCCAAGACATAAGCAAGGAGGACACCTACCGGCCACTGACACTCGTAGCCTTCATGTCCTACCCCCT